TTCATACCACAAATTTTTCGAAAGCAACATTTTTAGCTCTACTATTAACATAAAGATTCTTTTTATACTTACCTATTTTGTTTACCCTATTCATTTCAATCAAACGATTGAACTTATCAAATTATTTTTGAACACTTAGTGGCCCCAAAGTTCCTTTTAGAATTCTCTAGCAATATTACTTGAAATAGAGTATTGAATTATTGTCACTCATATCATTATTATTATTAAAAAAAAAAAAAAAAAAAAAAAATATGGACTCAACACATTACTATCAATTACGGCGCTATATATTGAATCAACAACTACCATCGAGCATGGATAAGCAAGAACAATGACACATAATTTCGAAGTCTAAGTTTTTTAAAGTGAAAGAAAATATATTATACTGAAAAGACTGATAAGAAAAGGATAACTGGTTAAAAGTCGTACAAACGTTTGAAATCGAACCAATATTGTTTTTAGCACACAATCATCTGACTGGAGGACACATGGGTCAAGCTGCAATGTTCGAAAAAATTAGAAGATATTATTTTTGGCCTCAAATGTTCGAAAGCATCAAAGAATATGTACGTACAAGCGATTCATGCCAACGTTGAGGGAAAAACAAGCTCCAAGAACCACTCCACCCTATTCAAGTGGACTCACCATTTTTTCAAATTGGCATCGACATCGTAGGGCCCTTGCCCATAACACCTCGAAAGAAAAGATATATAGTCATGGCTACTGACTATATGTCAAAGTGGCCCGAAGCAAGAGCACTCAAAAAAGACAATGCAATTGAAGTTGCAGAATTCATATACGAAGAAATAATCTGTAGACATGGCTGCCTACAATACATAGCATCGGACCGTGGCACACATTTTAGAAATGAACTTATTATAGCACTATTAAAGAAATTCCAAGTCAAACACAAACTGTCGACCCCCTATCATCCCCAAAGCAACGGCCTTGTTGAACGATACAATAAAACATTATGTAAATCATTAGCAAAAACAATACAACATGTTGTCGATTGGGATCAATTTATACAGCCAATATTATTTTCATACCGTACAGCAAAACAAAGTTTAACAAGAATGACCCCGTTCTTTCTAGTATATGGAAGGGAGTCTATTTGCCCCTGCACCCTAGTAATACCCCTGATATTTTAAATGGAACTATTATTCAGAGAACATTTAATTTGTTAAACAAAGTACCCGATCAACGAAATAAGGCAGTGAAACAAGTACGATCAACACAAGTAAAACAAAAAGAACAATACGATTGACGCATTAATGTTACATCTGTGTTTCAAATAGGTGAAAAGGTTTTATTATTCAATGCGGCTCACCAGATGTCCCGTAGCCACAAACTAAACCCAAAATGGAAAGATCCATTTTTCATACATAATGTTTTAATTAATGGGTCTTATAAATTATGAACATTGGATGGGAAAGTTCTTAAGTCTCACACCAACAAAGCCCAGCTAAAAAGATACCTGAAAGCCCACGAAAGAAGTAGTCTAAGGGACGACGAAACGTAGAAGGTGTTTGGAAGAAAGAAGGAGGTTTAGAATAAGGAGGGAGAGAATAAGAAAAAGATAACGAAAAGGGAAATTAAAGACAAATTTTTTCTTTCAAAAAAAAAAAAAAAAAAAAAAACTTAAAATTCAACAATAAAGATGACGCATATGATCGATGAAGTAATTAATGACTTATTAGCAGCAACTCCACGTGAGGTTCTGATCACGCCCCCGCCCTATAACGAAAGGCAAACTTTGAACGAAAAGGTTGACATAACCTACTGACATATGCTAAGGAACCAAAAGTTCAAAAATAGAATTGGAAGCTTAATCTACGGCTTCTATCTGGGGAAGTTATTAAATGAAGCAAGTCCGAAAGAACAGACCGAATATCAAAAGAAGATTACAAAGCACTATTATACGGCCGCAATCAGAATTTACTGGTTATTCGAAATGTACAGAATTGAACAAGTATACCAAACATAGAAGTTAATTCTATCCGATTTCGCAACTATGAAGGCAGCAGACTTCCGAAGCTTATTTTAGTTCGTGAAATGAATAAACTAAGTGAAGGAAAATGTAATGATTAAGAATGAATCAACGATGCATTAGGCGCAAATGGTGGATCGATTGTACAATTATTTATATTGCATAATTAGTCTATATAGCAGATATAGCAGATTTGACCGAAATAGCATAACTAGCACATATAGCATATATAGA